GGTTTGTTGCGCCCTTGGAAAGGAAATACAATATATTGGCGCTTCCCTCCCCGAAAAAAATCTTTCCTACAATAATTACAACTTTACTGCAGTATGGTATAGAGATGCAAGATAAAAAAAATTCTCTTCTAATCTACATTTAATACATTTAAACTAAATTAGTATATTAGAAAGTACAAATATTTTATTACTTTTAACGTTATATCAAAAAAACGTTTCAAAAAAATTAAAATTTTATTTTTCTCGCTTTGACTACAACGAATTCATTAATTCATTATATCATCCAGATTAATTTGTGAGAACACTTTATGTTCAATTGATGGTATAAAGCAAGATCAATCTTTCTTGATTCATCGAAGAACGGAGATAATTTTTTATAATTTTTTAAGTTTGCTAAAACAGTGTTCACAAGATGCCATAGTCATTGATAAAAAGCGTTTTACAATCGTAGATTTGACGCCCTCGCTGAGTGTGCACCCTTGGCAGAGACCAGTTTCGCCAACCTCGCTACGCTCTGGAAATAATATTCTTGATTTTAAGAAACACGGCAATTAAAACAGAGAGAAAAAGAATGATTTTTAAGTACGATTTTAAATAATAGTATATATTTTTAAAAATTTAGCAAGATACAGATAGATTTGAAAACAATTTTGTTGAAACCTCAAAAATGTAAATTTGATGTCAAAATTAAAAAGAACGATAAGAATTAAATAAGACAAACGAGAGTATGGTGCGATTAAAAAAAATTTCTTTACCGATTTGTTGAAAAATCATGATGTCAGAAATTAAAAACTTCCAAAAATTCATCCTTAAATCCGTCAAATAGCGAATTCGATTGGATACACACACTGATTCATTAAATCCATTATATACAAGTTGACGTAAAAAATGTGTATTTAATATAAATATAAAAACGGATTAAGTCATGAAATCCTCGATACATTTTTTTATGTTGTAAAATATTTTATAACTCGAAATTGCATTTTATTTTTATACAGATTAAATCAGTACAATAGCTTTAATATGAATTAATGCGTCCAACCGAATTTACTAAAACTTGAATTACTAACAAGTCAAATTCAAAATAATTTCATTTGACTACCAAAATAATTACATAGAAATTTCAAGCATGATAAGCAAGGCTGCAAAAAGTTTTGATATTTTAGCAATCAGCGTTTCACATAATTATTTTGGTTCAATAAATTATTTTCGAAGCTGTTTATCTAGTCTTTTTTGTATAATATTAAAGAGAAATAATAACTAATTTTGACAGGTATTTTTGTTCTCAATCTCTTCCTCGTTTTCCCGGAATAGACAGCGAGCAATGAAGATGTACGTTCATTAAATCTCAAGAGTCGATTAAATCTTCATGGTGGATTGCGAGCGTAATAAAAATGCTAAACGACACTCTTGGGTCGGGCCTGGTTGTGCCTGCAAAGGTGTGCGAGAGCAGCGACGATAGTTTTAAACAATGCTGAAGCATCGTTTATTTCCGGGAGCCTTGAAGTGTTTGGAAGACATGCATCCTACCTGTTTGCGGATCTCTAAAAATAAATATTACGAATACACTCTTCAATTGAGAAGAATGCAACTCGCATTTAGTATTCATCGATAATTCGCAATGGCACGTTATTTTATTGGGGGAAAGAAAAAAAAAGGGATTTATGAGAAGATATAATTTAGTAATAGTAAGTTTATACAAACGTCACATAGGAGATATAATTTCTAATTAATTTGTCGTAAATTTAATTTTTTTTTGATGTGCACGATTGTATAATTACCGAGTCAATACACGAATTGATGTTCCACAGTGACGTCAATATAATAATTGATTTGCGCCGTAATCATGTTCAATATAAATATGCGTCTGAGTTTCAATACATAAATGCATCGTGATCAATGCAATTAAATTTTTATTTTATCTATAATAAAATTATAATTGATCAAACATAATGTAACGCAGTATTTAAATAAGGAATAGTCTTTAAAGGGATATACTGAGAGAAAGGATTTTGTTAATTTAACAAGCCAGTATCTTTAATAAATGATTTATTCTACAGTGATAATTTGTAATTGATGTTAGTCTTCTATTTCAACCAGTTTTTTTAGTAATAGAAGTAATTTATGAAAAATCTAACCTATTTTTTCATAGATTTTTATTTGTTAGCAATACTGATTATTTTAATTTGTATCGTAAATCGTGTATCATTCGTTGTACATTAACAAATAATGAGAAATTATTCGTAATAATAATTCATCGATTTATTTTTCTACTAAATCATCATATTTGTTATCTCTTTTTTTTATTTCTATATGAATAACAAATTTATTTCTCTCAGTGTGTTTTTACTATAGATAAAAAAATGTGAATCGTTTGAATGTAAAATAAATATTGTTTAATATATTTTCTTTTTTGTTTAAATAATTATTTATAACAAATCTTTAAATACGCAATTCCATCGAAAATTTACAACAAAAAAATGTTTTATTTATTAACATTTTTATTTTCTAGAAATATTATAATAAGCTTATAATAAGCTTATTCCATTTGTAATATTTATTTGGTTTTTACTTACTTTTTTCAAAAAATTATGAGTAAATCTATATCCGTAATGTTCTCAAATGTTATTAAATCGAAAAATAATCAATATAATATACAATATGTTGTTATTAATAGTGATTTTAATTAGTAAAGCATGTAAAGTGCTGCGGGTGATCGTTTATGTAAAAAAAAATAAAGTGACTACTCCCTAGTTAAGTAATAAAATTGACAATTATGATTTGTTTTATTATTACACAATTATTAATTTGTTCTTTATTACACAAAACAGTTTTCTTTTGTGAGTACTTTATAGTAACAATTGGAAGGATCTATGCGAGAATATTGCATTCTTTGTTTCTGTGGCGAGTAACGCATCCGTAGTTATTACGGTGTTGCGACTCTTACGAAGTTACAGAGATGTGCAATTTCTATAGCGGAGGCGAAAATTATTCATGGAAATGCTAACTTGTAATCAACTGCCATGGCGTATCAAATATCGATTTTTACATGATTTTGTTGATCTTCAAGCGATCGCTCCGATTTGTGCATCATATCATTACCTATTTTGATGAATATTTTCAATGTGAAAATTTTTATCTTGCAAACTTGATAAACTCCGTTTTAGCAAGCAGTA